GACACTTCTGCTGCTGGTGAGTGGTAGTGGGGTGGAAGCTATTGTACATTTAAAGTAAATTAAATGCATGCTTGTAACATCAATCAAGCTTGGCAGAATTCTGAGCTTAGGTGCATACCAGTGGCCATGATTAGACAGCTCAAAGAATTGCAAGTATTGACAAATCATCGCTTTAGTAAGAATGTCTATAAACTGTGGTTGCAAATGGTCAGGAATTATAAATAATTAAGTTGAAATTTGTGTTGAAATGTTGCTCATGCTGTGTGGGCTTCTTTTCTTCCATGTACGACTGATTTAGATTCAGGAAAAAAAATACAGTGGTGGAATCCTTGTCCAGTCTAGTTTCTAAACAGTCAGTGGATCAGCTGAGTGAAGGTAAGTGGTTTATAATACAATTAAAATAATAAAGTGAAGAAAGCTCAAAAACACCCTACCAATGTGTGTGAATATGCTTAACTCTGTAACTTAACTAGTGTTTTATGGTAAAAGAAACCAAACAACAAAAAAGCCACTTGTATTTTTTTTTCTCCTTTTTCCCTTTAATTTGAATGCAAAGTTTCTCAATATGGGGTATTCAGCCTAATGCTTTTGGCTTTGAGCATGCATGAATTATGACAGGAATGTATTTTGTAACACATTATAGATCTGAAGAGAAAATTACTTTTTTTTTTCCTTTACTTAAGACAGCTCCCAATAGTTTATGAATCATTGATGCTGTGGAATAAATCCTTATCATTAGTTGCACTGGAATCTGAATATATTAACAAGTATTGTGCTTGTCTGTTTTGCCTTAAGGTGTTTTGGGAAATGGTATCAGTACATTGTTCATGGCTCTGAAAATGCTGACCTCCTATTTCTGATTTGGGCAGAATCAAGTATGCAGTTTTTTCTAACCTGACACAAAATAATCCCCTTTAATACTGGACGCATCAAACTCACCATGTGTGCATTGTGCATACAGCCGCCTTGTGCATGTGGCTGGTCTTGCAGCATGGATGCAGAGTAACTCATGTAATGTGTGTTAAGTCAAATGTACTTTGGTGCTGCACGAGGGCAGAAGGTCTGCCTGGGGCTTTCGGTTTGTTGAGCATGATGTGATGAAAACCTGTTCAGTGTCTTACTGGGCTTAGAAAAAGCCTGAGCCACAGTGACTGTTATCATTCATCTGCAGATCTTTTTTCTAAGATGTGCAAGGAGAGTTGGAAGAACTAGTTGCTGTAGGCTGATAAATTTAGGATCATTGAAAAGTGTAGGAAGTCATCCACCAGAATGACAAGCTTTTGCCCTAGGCTGAATTCAGCTTTGGCAAGATCAAAGCTTTTGTCTGAGGAGAAGTGAAATAGAAGAATTCTATTCCGATTTGAGTGTAACAGCTATTATTCAGCAGTTATCAAAACAGTAACAGCAGAATCTTGCTTTTCTTTCTTCTCTTGGCAGAATTTTATTTGTTTCATTGACCTCAAGAAAAGATCATTGATAATAACTTTGCTGACAGTAAATAACTTTTTCTTTCTCATATAGAGGAAATGCATGCTGAAATCTGCTATGCTGAATGCTTACTGCAGAAAGCAGCTCTCACCTTTGTACAGGTAAAGTCAGTTGTTTATTTTATATCTCTGTATAGCAATTTAATGGAAAGATACTAGTATTTGTAAAACATAGTTCTCGCAATATATGCAGTATTTAGAAACCAAACTTTTTCCTAGCGATTGAATGTTATTTAATGACAATGAAAAATCCTCTCTTATATGGTATATGAATATATATCCTCTTTTATATGAATAAACAAAGATGTTATTGATACCCAGGAACCAAAAACCTAAGGTATATTGCAGTCTTATACAGATGTTACATTTGAATGACTTACATCCCGTCCGACCATGTCCAGTACTTGTTGAAAAAGATGCTCAAGTATGAGGCAATGTGTTGCTTTGAAAGCGCAAGTCCTTTTTTTTTTTTTTTTTTTTTTTTTTTTTTAAAAGGAAAAATTTTTTCCACACACCTTTTTTTTTTTTTTTTTTTTTTTGCATTTAAAGGATAGAATGTTTCCCAACTGACCAAACTCGAACTGACACGTACTTGCCTCCAATTCAGTATTGCTCTCCATGCATTTCTGACATGGTGCCAGGACAGTATAGTAATGAATAATTATAAAATGAGCATGCCTTAGTGTTGCTGAGGTACTTATTCACTTCACAGATAGATCTGCCATTTAATAGTGTCCAGTGCTTCTTGTTCAGCTTGTGGCTCATGCTACTATGTTTTCAAACTGTATTTGAAATTTGGTTCCTGAAAACAGGAATTGTTAGTGAAACTTTTTTATGTATGTGACTGTTTTATGTGTGTCTAACAAATGCATTTTAGATAATTCCTTCACATAGAGATTATAAGGAAGAAGCAAGGCACAGAGATTTTAAGTCAGATGGACCAAATTAACTTTTAACTTAATATAGTACTTTGATCAGAAGTGTCAGGAAATATAATTAATAATAATTAAAAGTGAGTTTACGACTGTGTGAAATGAAAAAAAATCTTAGGAGAAACTTTCTCTAAAGCAGCACCTTGCTATCCATTGTATCAGAGATCCATTGCTGCTGACTATAATATCTTGCTCTGCTAGTTTCTGTCATGCCACATATTTTTCATCCTTACCTTGATTCATCTGAGGATTGTGCTGATAATGAAAAAGTAGCCATTCAGAAAGAGGTAGCAAGAATGACTGTACTGAAACACTTGTGTTGAGGTGTTCATTCTTGCACATAAAACAATTGAGGTCTTTTGGAATGGTGACCCTTTTATGGAAGCCAGAATTTCCTTTGGTTAATGATTCTGAGGCTATTTTTGTGATTATTTTTTTTCACTTTCCACATCATATATACTGTCCCTGAGTATTTTTAAAATGCCTGCACAGGTTAAAATCATAGAATCATAGTGTTTTAGGTTGGAAGAGACCTTTAAAAGTCATCTAGTCCAACTGCTCTGCAGTAAGAAGGGACATATTTAGCTAGATCAGATTGCTCAGAGCTCAGTCCAACCTGACTGTGAATGTTTCCAGGGATGAGGCATCTACCACATCTCTGGGCAGCCTGTTCCAGTGTTTCACCACCCTCATTGTACAAAATTTCTTCCTTGTATCTAGTCTGAATCCACCCTCTTTTAGTTCAAATCCTTTACCCCTTGTCCTATTGCTACAGGCCATGCTAAGGAGATTTCGCCTATCTTTTTTATAGGCCCTTTTAATTATTGAAAGGCTGCAATAAGGTCTCCCCAGAACCTTCTGTTCTTAAGGCTAAACAACTCCAACACTCTCAGGCTTTCTTTACAAGAGAGGTGTTCCATCCCTCTGATCATTTTCATGGCCCTCCTCTGGACCTGCTCCAGCAGGTCCAACAGTCCTTGTACCAAGAACTCCAGAACTGGACGCAGTACTCCAGATTGGGTCTGAGCAGAGCAGAGGGGCAGAATCACCTCCTGGGCCTTGCTGGCCACACTTCTTTTGATGCAGCCCAGGACAGGGTTGGCTTTCTGGGCTGCTGGTGCACATTGCCAGCTCATGTCCAGCTTTTCATCCACCAGTACCCCCAAGTCCTTCCTCACAGAACTCAATCCCTTCATCCTCCAGCCTGTGCTGACACCAGGGATTACCCTAACCCAGGTGCATGACCTTGCACTTGACCTTGTTGAACCTCATGAGGTTCACATGGGTCCACCTCTACAGCTTGTCCAGGTCCCTCTGGATGACATCTCATCCCTGTGGCATGTTAGCTGCAGCACTCCGCTTGGTGTCATCTGCAACTTGCTGAGGGTGCACTCAATGGAACTATTAATGTCATTGATGAAGATACTAAACACTACTGGTCCCAGTACAGATCCTTGAGGGACACCGCTTGTCACTGATCTCCATCTAGTTATCAAGCCATGGACTACTACCCCCTACATGAGACGATCTAACCAATTCCTCAACCACTGAACAGTCCACCCAGTAAATCCATATTTCTCTGGTTTGGAGAGAAGGATGTCACAGGAGACGATGTCAAAGGCCTTTCAGAACTCCAGATAGACAACATTTATAGCTCTTCTCTCGTCCACTGATGTAGTCACATAGAAGGCCGTCATAGAAGGCTGCTAGTTTGGTCAGGTGGGACTTGCCCTTGCTGGAGCCATGCTGGCTGTCTCAAATCACCTCCCTGTCCTCCATGTGCCTTATCAGAGCTTCTAAGAGGATCTGTTCCTAGGCACAGAGGCAAGTGTGACAGATCTGTAGTTCCCAGGGTCCTGCTTTCCACCCTTTTAAAAAATAGGTGCAGTGTTTACCTTTTTGAAGTCACTAGGGACTTCATCTGACTGCTGATGTCTTCAAATAGCATGAAGAGTGGCTTGGCAACTACCTCAGTCCAGTTCCCTCTGGACTCTGGGATGCATTTCGTGAGGTCTCATAGGCTTATGTATGTTCAGGTTCCTTGGGTGGTCTCTGACCTGATCTTCTCTTACAGTGGGAGGAACTCTGCTCCCCTAGACCTGTCTTGTGGTCCATCCACTCAAGAGGTGTGGGAAGAGAGACTACCAGTGAAGACTGAAGCAAAAAATTTGTTGAGTACCTCAGCCTTCTCCTCATCTGTTGTTACCAGTTTGCCAGTCTTGCTCATCAGGGGACGTACGCTTTCTTTGGCCTTGCTTTTCTGGCTGACGTACCTATAGAGGCCCTTCTTATTCATTGTGTCCCTTACCAGATTCAGCTCCAGTTGACCCTTGGTCTTCCTGCCTTCATCCTTACACAACCAGACAGTGTACCTGTGCTTTTCCCAGGATACTTGTCCCTGCTTCCACTCCCTGTGCAGTTCCTTCTTGCGCTTTAGTTTGACCAGCAGGTCTCAACTCATCCACACTAGTCTCCTGCCTTCCTTACCTGATTTCATACACCTGGAAATCAAGAGATCTTGTGCTCTATGAAAACCTGTCCTTAAAGATCTGCCAGCTCTGTTGTGCTCTCTTGTCCCTGAGGGCAGTTTCCTAGGGTGTCCTACTGACTTAACTCCTTCAGCAGCTGGAAGTTTTTTTTTTTTTCCTAAAATTTAGGCACCTGACTTTGTCTGTCAGGACTGTGAACTCCACCAGTGCACGATCACTGCAGCCCAGGCTGCCTCCAATCTTGATGTCACCGATTAAACTCAGTTGTATTGGTGACCATCAGATCCAGTATCAAGCCCGCTCTGGTAGGGCTGCCTATTACCTGGCTTAAGAAGTTACCCTGAAAGCATAGAAAGGTTTCCCTTCTATTTGAATTCTAAGAGAAGAAACTCTGTCCTGTTGAACTGTTAATCATCTTGCTTTTCAGGAGTTTAATTTTGATGGCTAGGATGCTGTGGCTTTACTTTGATTTTTCTAGTAGTTAATGAACATATATATTGGGTAGTACATGTGGTTACTGTTGATCAGCAATGGAAACTCTGTTCAGGGGATTCTTTGATTTGTCTTCTGACAAGTCCTGGGCTCGGTTGTCTGTGACAGAACTGGTATTTCGAGTTTTCTAAAGAGTTCCTACAGCACCATCTGGTGGAGAGCTTTCGTGTTTCGTTTATATGGACTGGAAATTCTTTTAAAAGTAACTGGCTTTTTTTTCCACCCACCTCTTAAGTTTTAAAATTTGTAGCATGCACTGGAGAAATGTTTTTCTGACAACTTTAAGCAGGTGTTAACTTCTGTCTTAGAGATGAGTCTAATAACTGGAAAATATTTTAAATATTTCCAATGTCTGAGTTATAAATAAATTTATATGTCGGTGGAAGATTTTTATGTATGTCTAATAGTTGAATGCATTTTTTTTTGTACAATTAAACTTTTTCTTCCAGGATGAAAATATGATCAACTTTATCAAAGGTGGCCTCAAAATTAGGACGAGTTACCAAATATACAAGTAAGCCACTAGAAAACACTTAAATTCAATGTTCATATAAGCAGATACAGTTGCATTAATGCCTTCAGATAATTAAAAAAAATAGCAGTCATGATGATTATACTTCATATAATTTCTGAGTCATGTTTCCTCTTCCCTCTTTATTTTCCTGCATCAAAAGAGAATGTCATCAGGTGCTACAAATGACTCAGGGGAGCAAAAGCAAAAATGAAACTTACTACCAGTTTGAAGGAGGAGTGAAACTTGGAATCGGGGCATTCAACTTGGTATGACTTTTTCAGACTACAGAAAGGCAATTGGGATAATTCTGTAGGATTCTTTCTTTGCAGATAGAGTACTATAATACTGTAAAATAGAGATACAGGCTTTGAAGGTTTTATGCAATATAAAAACAGCAGTGGCTTTTTGCATGTGTGTCTTCTAGAATCTTTCTACTATTTTATTCTGAATTCTGTTTAATTCTCTTGGAACTAATTTATGCATATATTTCTTAAGAGGTAAAGCAGGTACATCTACCTGTTTCTAGCAAGAATTTTTAAGATAGTTACATTGTTGGTTATAGAATAACTGGAGTGACTACTTTTATTCTAACACCGCCATATATACCATTATTTGCTTCAGTGGCATACTGTAGACTGGCATAGATTTAGGAGAATGAACAGTAGTTTACTGAGTTTGTGCAAAAAACGCCCAGAACTGGATACATCTGCTAGCATCTTACTTTACAATTTACTACACTTGCCTTTTCACATCTGTTGTGGCAATGGTGAGAGTTGATTTCTGCTGGTATGTTAACATCTGTATCATTCCAGACTGGAGCTGACAGTTGTGAGTATGGTCAGAACTCATCAGCAGCTGGTTCTGACCTTTCCTATCCTTCTTGTCACCTCAGCAGGAAGCTTATCAGAAAAAGCCACTGCTGGGCAGAATGTATTAGGGTGAATGAAGCTTCCCAACACTGACCTTCAGATAGCTCTTCTTGTAGTGCTTGTTGGAAAGCTTGTTGTGATCTTCATAAGTTTTAAGCTTTGTAGGTTGGAGAGAGTGCAGTTACAAGGGGAACAAAAGTGCATGCATAGAGGGCTAACAGATGGTAACAGTAGCCACTATTACTAAGACAAGTATGCTTACTGGTCTGCTAATTAAGTGCTCCCACAGTAGGAATAAGTAGAACTTTTGTGATAACCATTGTGTCATTTGATGAGAGTACAGTAAGTTGACAATTTAGATTGTAAGTACTGCCAAAATAGAGGATATTTTTTTATTCCAAATGACTCGCAATTTTCAAACAATTTTGATCAGCTGAAGACAAAAATCTGTCATCACCTGAAGAAGCACAGCTGGACTCTATCATAGTGTTTCTGTGCTGGATAGTCGTCAAGAGTCTGAGTTTGTTTGAAGTTGCAGACTGATTACGTATTGTTGATCATGTATGCCTGTTTTCAAGTTTTTTAGTGTTTTACTTTTTTCACTACTGTATAATGGAATATAACATAGTAGCTGGCATTTTTTACTCAAGTTTATAGTGGTTTTACTTTTTTATATATATAAGTCTTTCTTGATCTTATTTTTTATTTGAATTGTATTTCAGATGCTGTCGCTTTTGCCAGGAAGGATCCTCCGACTTTTAGAATTTATTGGATTTTCTGGCAATAGGGTAATGGATCTGATTTTTTTTTTTTCCAAATTAATCTTTTCTCAGATAAAGACTAGATGGATTTAACATCATATATTCCATGCCAGAAGTATAATGATCTACATTATTAGTATCTTAGTGTTGTTAAAAAGATGAGAATTGGGCTAGATGATGCAGGCATAAAAGCACATATGGTGATATCCTGAGCTTGAACAACCGTGAGAAATGACTAGTCTGCTTCAGAGGGGGTTTTCAAATTGCAATTTCCTTTCCTTTTGCTGATCCTAAAAGAGAGGATATCAGCTTTCTTTTCTGGCCTATGAAGTCAGAGATAATTGTTCCTCATTCCCGTAACTGAGGGTAGAGTCACAGTTTCACATTTTTTCCATGCACAATCCTACCCCATTTCTTTAGGAGAAGGAATTTCTGAACATCATCTGTCATTGTGGAATCTTTTTCTTATGCATGAGGAAAGTATTTGTAATCATAGCCTTGTTTTTGTAATGCTATGCTTTTTTGGTAAGTATCTTACAGCCCTTCAATACTTTTTGCCTCCCATAAGAAATAAAATAAAGAACCAAACCAAACAAAGCAACCCACAGAATTAAGCTAAAACTTCACACTATTAATGAGACGAAGAGTCACGATATGGTCTTATTGCTGTTAGTTTGTTCACAGATATGGTTCCACTTTTGTAAAATTAGACTTGAGACCTGTTCATAAGTTTTTTCCCTGTGAAAGACCTGGTTCATGCTGAAGCTCTTCAGCTTCATATATACAAATAATATACACTTTTGCCCTGTCTGAAAAGTCAATAGAAACTGAAAGGAAAAGAACAAACGATTTGGGAATATTTCCACATTTTTTTGCATGGTGCTTGAATTTTCCTGTATTTTATCAAGTTGCTATGCAGTTAAGTTATTACTTTTTTTGAAGCAAAACTGTTCAAATCTGATACGTTTCTAAAGAGCCACTGCTTTTGAGCAGGGAAAATCTGAGCTAATCTCAACAATCCTCCAAGCAGTCTAGCTGTCATGTAATGGGCATAAACTGGAAAGGATGGGAAGATGTTTCTTGTGTTAGGAGCTGAATAAGTCTCCATGAATCTGGATTCCTTTTCTTAACACACATAAATTTCATTGTGGCTTCTGGAAACAGTGCCTAGCAGTTGTGTGTCAGCACAGCTAATATTTTGATCAGAACCTCAAAACTGTGGCTGACTTGATGGAAGAAAATTGAGGATAACCAAGAATTTCTGTGAAGGAAGACCCTTGTTGACAAGTAGCGCTGGAACAGTTGAGAGAGGTTCTCACTCAACGTAGATTTAAAGACATTATTCTGAAACGCACATACCCAGAAAGTAGTGGGGAAAGGATATAGACCTGTGTGTCTTCATGGTCCGTGTGGTGTTCCCGTTTTACCAGAGCACTGAACTGCATGGATAATTTTATTCTGTGTTAGCTTAATATTATCCTTATGAGTGCTATCAGCTGTGGCAGAACTGTTTTGGTACAAGGTTGTGTTGGATCTGTAATAACGAAGTGCAGAGTTACGAAATACTTCTACCTGAAATGAAAACTGGATTTGGGGGAGCCAGAAACTATTAATAGTAGCTCTATATACTGATAGTTAATTCTGCATGTGTTTGTGATGTTTCTTAGGAGTTGGGCCTCTGTCAACTACGGGAAGGCGCATCTGGCAGCAGTTTGAGGGCCATTCTGTGTACTTTCACCCTGTTGGTTTATCATACTTACGTCTCCTTAATCCTTGGTGAGACCCACTGTGTAGCTGTTCAGTCATGCTACTCATTGTGATAGATGTTGTGATGTTTTTGATCTGAATTTAAAAACTCTGGCCAATTGGCTTTGTAACAGGAGATTGCTGTATACTTAGTTATGATCTGAAACAAATATCTCTGACAAAGCTGTGTCTGCAGAAACAGTGAGGGTAGATACCATTATGCCAGCATATTGTTCCTTTTGCAGGGCTGTCTCAACATGCAACAGCAGAATATCACAAAACACTTAAGTTCAGACAAGTCCTTATCCATAAATTAACATCACATATTGTGAAAATTATCTCCAGAAAGAAGTCCGTAGTCCCATACAATTTACTTAGAAGTTCAAACATGTAGAGAATTAATTGCTTTTGCACATGGGGCTAAAAGTGACCATTAATTCTGTATGCATCTTTGACGTATATTTTCATGTTCTTTAGTTAGGAAGTATTTTAGTCCTTGTTCCTCAAGCTCATCAGGAAATAACTAGGATCTATAATGGAACAGTTTAAAGAATATTCATGTATTCTATTCTGTTTATAATTCCAGACACTTACTATCTTAAAAGTACTTAGTAACTTCAGGTTAAGAATTCATTTTTATAGAAACACAATATGATGAAATGATTATGCTTTTGCATAAAAGCAGTCCATTAATCTATTCAAGCAGTAATATGATTTGGAAACCAAAATCTTAATCTAATGAAACTTGCTTTTTTACGTACATTAAGGTTGGTTTGTTCTATTTTCTAGGTACAGGGGAAGCCAACCTTCAGGAAGCAGACAGTCTCCTTGAACCCTACCTCCAGAAATTTCCAAATGTGTGTATTCTCAGTAAATTTTGTAACAGCAATGTACTTTCCTAAGCTTAAAATAGTAACTAGGTATTTTTCTCATCTCCTTTCAAGGGTTCCATTATTCTATTTTATACTGCCAGAATAGATACATTGAAAGGAAATTTTGAAAAGGTAAATTATTTTTTTCTTTTTAAGGTTTTTATTTGTTCAGTGTTCAACTTGGGGAAGAAATATCTAATTCATCTAAGTAACTTATTTTAGTTGGACTTATAATTATTCTTTTATCCCTGTTCATGTTCAGTGTCAATATTGATTCTAGCTCTCTCTCTGTAAGTGAGTCTGAAAGGGAAGTTTCACAGAATCACAGAACGTTAGGGAT